GCTTGCTGTCCCGCATTGGTGGATTCCATACGAGCCGTATAGTTGGGCGGGTAATATCGACCCAAGTGTGATTAAATCCATGACGCGAGGTGGGCCGTTTGTAGCTCAGGGGTGAGAGCGTTGGCTTTCGGTAAAGGCCTTCTCCACTACGCGGTTTCAAATTCCGCCGAACGCCTCGAGTTTTTCAAATTGGGTCAACTCAGGTTTTACCTTAAGACACACCAGATCAAATGGTCATGCCGTCTGTGCTGATCAGTAGAGAAGAGGGCGCTGGCGACCGTTCGAAACCCCGATTGACAGAGGTCTTTTTGGAAACGCAGCCGAATATCTCGGTCCGAAGAATTCAACCTCAATGGCGGCTTCCTCACTTATATAGAAAAATTGTATCGATAGATGTCACATTTACTCTCATTTTCTTCCTTAAGTTGACAAGCGTAGTGACTGTATCCTATAAATAGCGCAGCTCCCAGTCTACGCAGTACCTGTTTCTGCTGCTGGTTCTGATGATGGGTTCGAACATGAGTCCGAAACTTCAGATGAATGGACTTCTTGTTGCAGCGACCGCGTCGACTTATTCCCAAATGCCTACTGACCTCGTCTGTGCGTACTAAGTGCACGACCTGACTCCGAGAACACAAGTACCAGAATTTTACACAAGGTTAGCGGTTCACCTCTCCCATGCGTAAGAGTGGTAGAGGTCACGCTACGAAGGAGCCATTGTAGTCTGACCTTTATACTGCTACACACACCGTGTTGACTGCGAGATCTGAGTGCAATCTTCAGTTGGTAGTCACAGGCTCAGAGCATATATGCGGTATAGGAGTCCTGACTAATTACATAGTTCGCGCGGACCCCAACCACTGAGAGCCCTTATGCCGGTTGTAGGAGACGGAAACAACAACAAAAATTGTTGTTACTGCCTATTTAGTCACAAGTAAGTCAACCGATTAGTTTCCGCATAGACGGAAAACAGCTTGTAGCGCTGACGCCAAGCCCGCAAAGCGCACGTGACTTCGCTACTCTACCTCCTTCTGGGCCAGCCAATCACAGGTGCTGTAGACTTCTATTGGCCAAGCATTTGATCAAGCGTCCAGTGACTCAATCTCACATGACGTTTATTCACTTACGCCCACAGCACACGAAAAGACAGACGCGCGCGCCCAAGGCCCGGCGCCTGCC